AACCCAGTCCAGATGGTTTTGGACCAGAACCCAGTCCAGATGGTTTTGGACCAGAACCCAGTCCAGATGGTTTTGGACCTGAACCCAGTCCAGATGGTTTTGGACCTGAACCCAGTCCAGATGGTTTTGGACCTGAACCCAGTCCAGATGGTTTTGGGGCTGGACCACAGAGTGAAGGGGCCATAAGTGCAAAGCATCATGGGAACTCAGACCATTTCAGGTCCTGTTGAAGCTCATCCAGTGAAGCAGTATCAGAGCAAAAGGTGCTACTTTGAAGAACCAGAATAAAACACATATTTACACTTGGTTCATACGTTTATAGTACATACACAATTCACATCATAGGTTTGAAGCCCTCAGTGTCAATCTACTATTTCCATATCATGAAAATAAACTCTTTGAATCAGAAGGCGTGTCCAAACTTTTGGTCTGTACTGTATTTACGGACAATCTATGCTAACAATTTCATAACTTTTTTAATGTAAGCTTTGAAATAACATTGAATTTAAACTTTACACTCAGTACAACAAACTTAGGATGTATAAAAACAGTTAGTTCCCCACATTTAACTTTATACATCCATCTCAAATGAACAATAACGTGTGTGGAGAGACTAGTTTAGTTTCCCACAGGCTCAGACAAAATGACCTTTAACTCATTCACTGCTGCCGTTTTTGATGATTCCACTGATTCTCAAGACCCACAGAATATTATTTCCAAAGTCAATGTGAAATATGATTCTGATTCTGAAAGACTGGATTGTCCACTCATCTGTAAAAAAATAAGTTTGTTTCTAGATATTTTCGTTCTCCTGTAATCCCCCGTCGAAGAGAGGGTCTCAGACAAATACGTGACAGGGCCGTAGGAGGGTAGGGTGCATTGTGGGTAGTGGGACAAGGCTGTAGAGGAGTGTAGGGTGCATTGTGGGTAATGGGACAGGGCTGTAGAGGAGTGTAGGGTGCATTGTGGGTAATGGGACAGGGCTGTAGAGGAGTGTAGGGTGCATTGTGGGTAATGGGACAGGGCCGTAGGAGGGTAGGGTGCATTGTGGGTAGTGGGACAGGGCTGTAGAGGAGGGTAAGGTGCATTGTGGGTAGTGGGACAGGGCTGTAGAGGAGGGTAAGGTGCATTGTGGGTAATGGGACAGACCTGTAGAGGAGGGTAAGGTGCATTGTGGGTAATGGGACAGACCTGTAGAGGAGGGTAAGGTGCATTGTGGGTAATGGGACAGACCTGTAGAGGAGGGTAAGGTGCATTGTGGGTAATGGGACAGACCTGTAGAGGAGGGTAAGGTGCATTGTGGGTAATGGGACAGACCTGTAGAGGAGGGTAAGGTGCATTGTGGGTAATGGGACAGGCCCAGACGTCTCCAACAGTACTTTTGGTTTTTGCTCAGAGCTGTGATGGTGAAATGGTTTCAGGACCAGCGGAGACACTATGAAGGAAATATGGTCCGAGAGGAGACACTATGGAAATATCGTCCGAGAGGAGACACTATGAAGGAAATATGGTCCGAGAGGAGACACTATGAAGGAAATATGGTCCGAGAGGAGACACTATGAAGGAAATATGGTCCGAGAGGAGACACTATGAAGGTAATATGGTCCGAGAGGAGACACTATGAAGGTAATATGGTCCGAGAGGAGACACTATGAAGGTAATATGGTCCGAGAGGAGACGAGTGTGAAACATGTTAAAATATGTTCAGAATAAGATTATGGTCAATAAAAAGTACTAAAAGAAAGAGTGGCATTAGCAGCGCAGGGTTTCTCACATGTGGAAGATGGAGCTGAAACATTCACCAAACGGAGACACCAATTTAAAACTAGAAATGTAAGTTATTGTTGTTTTTGATGAAGATGAAGAAGATGAAGAGATCCAGGTAAATCACCTCTTTCTGTACTTTCTATCTTATTTTAAATCATCGATCACTTCCTGTTTTCTAAATGTTCTGAGCAGCGACCATCAACAGAGACGAGGGGGCCTTGGCTCACACAGCGCAGAGGAGGGTCTCTCTTTCTCTGGTTTAGATTATGGAAAGAGACCAGAGAGACCAGAGAGAGACCAGAGAGAGACCGGAGAGAGACCGGAGAGAGACCGGAGAGAGACCAGAGAGACCGGAGAGACCGGAGAGAGACCAGAGAGAGACCAGAGAGACCAGAGAGAGTGACCAGAGACTGAGACCGGAGAGAAACCAGAGAGACCAGAGAGAGTGACCAGAGACTGAGACCGGAGAGAGACCAGAGAGAGACCAGAGAGAGACCAGAGAGAGACCAGAGAGAGACCAGAGAGAGACCAGAGAGAGACCAGAGAGAGGCCAGAGAGAGGCCAGAGAGAGGCCAGAGAGAGACCAGAGAGAGACCAGAGAGAGACCAGAGAGAGACCAGAGAGAGACCAGAGAGAGACCAGAGAGAGGCCAGAGAGAGGCCAGAGAGAGGCCAGAGAGAGACCAGAGAGAGACCAGAGAGAGACCAGAGAGAGACCAGAGAGAGACCAGAGAGGCCAGAGAGAGACCCCCCCCCCTGTGACAGCAGCTCCCCCCCTCACAGTCAGAGCATGTGGAGGATCTCTGTCCCCTGGAGAAGATTGCATCTTTTATTTATATTCCTCTTTTCTTCTTCTTTTCATGTTTTTTTTCTTCTCGATGCCGGGAATAAAGAGGGATTCTGGGGCGAGGATTGCAATGAGCAGAGGAGGGACTGCACCTCCTCCTGCACCTCCTCCTGCACCTCCTCCTGTGGCTGAGACTTCCCCCACAATCTGACCCGTTTCTGTTCAGAGACCAGAGAGAGAGACCAGAGCGAGACCAGAGCGAGACCAGAGAGAGAGACCAGAGAGAGACCAGAGCGACACCAGAGCGAGACCAGAGAGAGAGACCAGAGAGACAGACCAGAGAGAGAGACCAGAGAGAGAGAGACCACTCGTTGCGGTCTCGTTGAACCGTGCAGCCCTCGTGTGGTTCTGAGAGCTCTTGTCTTTGGCCTGCTCCATGGTCTCCCTCAGAAAGACCAGAACAGGCCCATAAATGATTGCAATGCTTGGGAATCTTGGTAAGCACCCAGACGAAAGAAAGGAGAGGAGAGGGGGGAGACGAGGGAGACAGGGGAGGAGGGGGAGAGCTGCCCGCCTGAGTGCCTGCTCCATGGCTACTATTGTACACGCCACATTCTGCAAGTACCAGAGAGAGACCAGAGAGAGACCAGAGAGACCAGAGAGAGACCAGAGAGAGACCAGAGAGAGACCAGAGAGAGACCAGAGAGAGACCAGAGAGAGACCAGAGAGAGACCAGAGAGAGACCAGAGAGAGACCAGAGATAGACCAGAGATAGACCAGAGATAGACCAGAGATAGACCAGAGATAGACCAGAGATAGACCAGAGAGAGACCAGAGAGAGACCAGAGAGAGACCAGAGAGAGACCAGAGAGAGACACCATAGAGAGAGACCATGACCAGAGAAAGACCAGAGACCAGAGAGAGACCAGAGAGAGACCATGACCAGAGAGAGACCAGTGAGAGAGACCAGAGAGAGACCAGAGCGAGACACCATAGAGAGAGACCATGACCAGAGAAAGACCAGAGACCAGAGAGAGACCATGACCAGAGAGAGACCAGTGAGAGACCAGAGAGAGGCCATAGAGAGACAATAATAATAATAATAAATCAGTTTTATTCAGTGCTTTCCAGGATGCTTATTCTTTCTCTCCAAACACAGTGGTGATAAACTACTGTAGCCACAGCTGCCCTGGGGCACACTGACAGCAGCGAGGCAACCAGTCTGTGCCATCGGCCCCTCCCACCACCACAAACCACACACACACCAGACTCATTCTAATGTGGGGGAAGTGTCTTGCCTCAGGACACAACTACAGTTTGGCACTTTACAGCCGCAGCCGCCCCACTGTGGCACCTCCTGATCAGAGGTCTCCCAACACAGTACTAACCAGGTCCTGCCCTGCTTAGCTTCAGAGGTCTGACAGAGAGAGAGAGAAAGAGAGAGAAAGACCAGAGACCAGAGAGTGACCAGAGAGAGACCAGAGAGAGACCAGAGAGAGGCCAGAGCGAGACCAGAGCGAGGCCAGAGCGAGGCCAGAGAGAGGCCAGAGAGAGACCAGAGAGAGACCAGAGAGAGACCAGAGAGAGACCAGAGAGAGACCAGAGAGAGGCCAGAGAGAGGCCAGAGCGAGACCAGAGAGAGGCCAGAGAGAGACCAGAGAGAGACCAGAGAGAGGCCAGAGCGAGACCAGAGAGAGGCCAGAGCGAGACCAGAGCGAGGCCAGAGAGAGGCCAGAGAGAGACCAGAGAGAGACCAGAGAGAGGCCAGAGAGAGACCAGAGAGAGGCCAGAGCGAGACCAGAGCGAGGCCAGAGAGAGGCCAGAGAGAGGCCAGAGAGAGACCAGAGAGAGACCAGAGAGAGACCAGAGAGAGACCAGAGAAGGACCAGAGAGAGGCCAGAGCGAGACCAGAGAGAGGCCAGAGCGAGACCAGAGAGAGACCAGAGCGAGACCAGAGAGAGACACACAGAGAGAGAGAGTGGAGGAGGGGGAGGATCATGAACACATCTTGTTTGCAGAATGCATTAGGATCAGGATGAACCCGGAGCGTAATGAGATTAGATCCTGGAGGTTCTGAGGAGTGACAGCTCAGACTATTGCACTGACGAGACCAGGAGAGGGACCAGGGAGGGACCAGGGAGAGACCAGGGAGGGACCAGGGAGGGACCAGGGAGGGACCAGGGAGGGACCAGGGGGGGACCAGGGGGGGACCAGGGGGGGACCAGGGAGGGACCAGGGAGGGACCAGGGAGGGACCAGGGGGGGACCAGGGAGGGACCAGGGAGGGACCAGGGGGGGACCAGGGGGGGACCAGGGAGAGACCAGGGAGGGACCAGGGAGAGAGTTCTTCCTGGTTCACACTGTATTTTTCCACATGTGGTTTATTGCAAATAATGAACCGAGTCTCCTCCACAGTCTCCTCCTCCACAGCCTCATCCTCCACAGCACCTCCTCCACACCTCCTCCACACCTCCTCCACACCTCCTCCACACCTTCTCCTCCACACAGCCTCCTCCACAGCACCTCCTCCACAGCACCTCCTCCACAGCCTCCTCCTCCACAGCCTCCTCCTCCACAGCACCTCCTCCACAGCCTCATCCTCCACAGCCTCATCCTCCACATCACCTCCTCCACATCACCTCCTCCACATCACCTCCTCCACAGCCTCATCCTCCACAGCACCTCCTCCACAGCCTCCTCCTCCACAGCACCTCCTCCACAGCCTCCTCCACAGCCTCCTCCACAGCCTCCTCCTCCACAGCCTCCTCCAGTCTCCTCCACAACCTCCTCCACAGCCTCCTCCACAGCCTCCTCCTCCACAGTCTCCTCCTCCACAGTCTCCTCCTCCACCACCTCCTCCTCCACAGCCTCCTCCACAGCCTCCTCCTCCACAGTCTCCTCCACAGCCTCCTCCACAGCCTCCTTCACAGCCTCCTCCACAGCCTCCTTCACAGCCTCCTCCACAGCCTCCTCCTCCACAGCCTCCTCCACAGCCTCTTCCACAGTCTCCTCCACAGCCTCCTCCTCCACAGCCTCATCCTCCACAGCCTCATCCTCCACAGTCTCATCCTCCACAGTCTCCTCCACAGCCTCCTCCACAGCCTCCTCCACAGCCTCCTCCAGTCTCCTCCACAGCCTCCTCCACAGCCTCCTCCACAGTCTCCTCCACAGCCTCCTCCACAGCCTCCTCCACAGTCTCCTCCACAGCCTCCTCCACAGCCTCCTCCACAGCCTCCTCCTCCACAGCCTCCTCCTCCACCTCCTCCTCCACAGTCTCCTCCACAGCCTCCTCCACAGCCTCCTCCACAGCCTCCTCCACAGCCTCCTCCACAGCCTCCTCCTCCACAGCCTCCTCCACAGCCTCCTCCACAGCCTCCTCCACAGCCTCCTCCACAGCCTCCTCCACAGCCTCCTCCACAGCCTCCTCCTCCACAGCCTCCTCCTCCACAGCCTCCTCCACAGCCTCCTCCACAGTCTCCTCCACAGCCTCCTCCACAGCCTCCTCCTCCACAGCCTCCTCCTCCACAGCCTCCTCCAAAGCCTCCTCCACAGCTGCAGTCGGCCCCACAAAGCCGCTGGCGAGTACAAAACACGCGCTGTGGCTCTCAATACCTCGTCTCCACCTTCGCTTTCCAAACATATTTAGCCAATGTGAAAGACTATATGGGTCTGTCTGATGGTGTGGCGAGGACCAGAACCAGAAGTGGGTGAGGACCAGAAGTGGGTGAGGACCAGACACCAGACTATTACTGGTGTCGCTGAGAATAGGCAGTGTGGATTGGACCAGGATGGAAATACCCTGATTTGTTTACTATAGAGAGACCAGAGAGTGACACCAGAGAGAGACACCAGAGAGAGACACCAGAGAGAGACACCAGAGAGAGACACCAGAGAGAGACACCAGAGAGAGACACCAGAGAGAGACACCAGAGAGAGACACCAGAGAGAGACACCAGAGAGAGACACCAGAGAGAGACGCCAGAGAGAGACACCAGAGAGTGACACCAGAGAGTGACACCAGAGAGTGACACCAGAGAGTGACACCAGAGAGAGACACCAGAGAGTGACACCAGAGAGAGACACCAGAGAGAGACACCAGAGAGAGACACCAGAGAGAGACACCAGAGAGAGACACCAGAGAGAGACACCAGAGACAGACACCAGAGACAGACACCAGAGAGAGACACCAGAGAGAGACACCACAGACAGACCAGAGACAGACCACAGATAGACCAGAGAGAGGAACCATGAGGGACCATAAAAAGACCAGCGAGAGACCATAAAGACCAGGGAGAGTGACAGACCGAAATACCCTGCATTGTTTACCATAAAGAGCCACAGAGAGCAGGGTCCCCCCTTTGAGCTGAAGCACCTTTCTCATTCCCCACATGGTACATTCCACATGGTAAAACATGAAACAGCAGCCAATGAACAAAGTCATCAGTGTTTTGTGTAAATCAAAGAAGAGCAGAACAACTGGATCCAACAAACAACATCCCAGGCCACGGCCCGCGGGTTGGGAAGCCGTGGGTGAAGCAGGGTCCGTGGGGGACGGGGTGAGAGCAGGGTCCGATCGGTGCTCGGTTACTCGGTTACTCGGTACTCACCCACTTGCAGGACGTTGTCCACCCAGCCGCCCTCCAGCAGCGTGACTCCGCGCAGGAACGGCAGCGGTCGGTCCTCACTGTCCCCGTTAGATCCGGAGTCGTCCGCGTTAAAGGAGGAGTACATACAGATCTCCTTCTCGCTCCGGGGGAAGGACCAGTAAACGATCCTCCTCTGTACGGGCTCCGGTATCCGCTCGAAGCGCTCCTCCACCCGTTGGAACGGCCACTTCTCGGCCACTCTCCGCGCCGCGATGTCGAGCAGCGTCTCCGGGCTGTGCGTGTGCAGGAGCCCCACGGTCCGCGGGCCCAGGCGGCACACCGGGCTGTACCCGCTGGACCCGCTGAACCCGGGGTACCCGGGGTACCCGGAGGAGCCGGAGCACCCGGAGGAAGAGCGGCAGCACGGCCGCTTGGCTGCGGGCGGCAGGACGCGCTCCGCCATGTTCCTCTGACGCTCCGTGCTCCGCGGACACGGGATCAGGAAGAGCCCGCACCGACTGTCGCCGTACAAGGAAGTGCGCTCCTTATTTGGAAAAGGGGCGGGGCCTGTCGGTCTCGTCGGTCCTTTGTTGTGTCAAAGTGAGCAGGAGGCGGATCTCCCGCAGGTCTCACAAGTCTCAGTCTCTCAGTCTCAGTCTCACAGTCTCAGTCTCACAGTCTCAGTCTCAGAGTCTCAGTCTCAGAGTCTCAGAGTCTCACAGTCTCAGAGTCTCAGTCTCAGAGTCTCACAGTCTCAGTCTCACAGTCTCAGTCTCAGATTCTCAGTCTCAGAGTCTCAGTCTCACAGTCTCAGTCTCAGAGTCTCAGTCTCAGAGTCTCAGTCTCACAGTCTCAGTCTCACAGTCTCAGTCTCAGAGTCTCAGTCTCAGAGTATAAGTCTCTGAAGTCTCCACAGTCCAAGCAGGTTCCTAGACTATACATACTATACTAAACTATACTATACTACTACTACTATATTATACTATGTACTTTACTACTACTATACTATGTACATATACTAGTACATTTCTCCATTTTGAGAAGAATAAAGTTGATCTATAAAATACCACCATACTATACTAATATACTGAACGATACTACTGTACTACTATACTACACAATACTATTACTAAACTACCATAGTACAAACACTACTACTAAAGTAATACTATATCACTGTTCTAAACTATGCTACTACTATACTAAACTGTAATATTCTACTACTACCATAATATACTATACTCTACTATACTACTACTATACTATACTCTACTATACTATACTCTACTATACTACTACTCTACTATACTATACTCTACTATACTACTACTATACTATACTATACTACTACTATACTATACTCTACTATACTATACTCTACTATACTACTACTATAATATACTATACTATACTCTACTATACTACTACTATACTATACTATACTACTACTATACTATACTACTACTATACTATACTCTACTATACTAGTGCTATACTACACTCTACTCTACTATACTATACTACTACTATACTACTACTATACTATACTATACTCTACTATACTACTACTATACTATACTCTACTATACTACTGCTATACTATACTCTACTATACTACTACTATACTATACTACTACTATACTACTACTATACTATACTATACTCTACTTTACTCTACTATACTATACTATACTACTGCTATACTAGACTATACTCTACTCTACTCTACTATACTACTGCTATACTATACTATACTATATTAAACAATATATACGTTGCTATACTACACACGACTACACTACACGATACAATACTATACTATTTAAATGTGGAAAGACTAGAGACAGAGATTGCAGTAGAATATATCTATAGTCAGATGGATGTACATGAACCAACAGACGCATTGATGGTACTAATATATTTTTTGCATATAAAGATGACATGTTTGTTAAAGCGATTAGACCCCGGCAGAAAAACTGACATCTGCAGGAGGGACATTGATATAAATTATTATCATGTGAACCCTGGGGCCTGGACCCTGGGGCCTGGACCCAGGAGTCTAGACCCGTGGGTACAGGGGTCCAAGAGGCCTAGGGACCCTTGGGGCCTAGACCCTGGTGGAAGAAGACATGGCATGATGCTCCACTGAAGAGGCGGTGAAGGGGAGGAGGTGGGTTGCTGCTCGAACAGCAACTTGAAGCTGCAGCCATGAAGTGATGATGAGGGGAGGAGCCAATGCAGAAGGGGAGGAGCCAGTGCAGAAGGGGATGAGTCAGTGTAGAAGGGGAGGGGTCAGTGTAGAAGGGGAGGTGTTGTAGACTCATAACTCTGCACTGTAGTGTAGTAGTTGTATGTGTATATCGATGTCTGTGTGTATGTATGTGTATGTATATGTGTGTATATGCGTGTGTATGTTTGTGTGTCTGTGTCCTTCTGTGTATGCATGTGTGTGTATTTATGTATTTGTGTGTGTGATTGTACGTGTGTGTATGTGTGTGTGATGATGTGTTGACGTTCTCAGAAACATTTGAGTTCTAAGACTTTAGTGAAAACAGAAGTGATACGTGTGCGTTTATATATTGAAAGACTACATTCCCCATGATTCCTTGCGGCAGTAGCAGTGCATCACGTGTTTCCCGTGCAGTCTGAGAGGATCGTGCTGTGGAAGCTGCTGTTTCTGTCCGTTTCCAGCTGATATCTGCACATCTGGTGGGTCTGCGTCCTCCACAGTCCTCCCCGCGGTGGGGCTCCTGTCCCCGGCCAGGCTTCAGCCCTGGTCCCGGGCACAGCTCTGTCTTTCCCGCGGGAGTGTGGCTTTATCCCGGGTTAGCTGCTGGAGCTGTGTTTAATGCAACAGTTCTCTTTAAAAGCACTGTTTTCTTCCGTGTTCTCAGTTTTCTCTGTGTTTGATGAAAATGTGGATTTGAACAAAACTGACCGTGTTAGTCACTGCTACGTCACTACGTGTACGTTATGTCGCGTGGGTCTGTTAGCTCCATGCTAACGATGCTAACGTTGCTAACGTCAAAACGTAAACACGGATGTGAGCTGGTGCTGGAGATAAGTTACATTTACTGACATATCCACTGTACAAGTTTACACCAGCCCGAGAAAGGCAACACACTCTACATACGTTAAATATAATATATAATTTATTTTAGTCTATTCCATTTGTTTTAACACTAGAACTTCCAGTGCGTGTGGAGAGAGACAAACAATTGTAAAGCTGTTTGATTCTGTGAAAGCTCTCTATGAATAAACATTACTCACTAAATCAGATCTTTCAGTCAGTGGTGGTAAATCTGACAGAGTCCTTGCTCCTGGTCTCACTCCTGGTCTCGCTCCTGGTCTCGCTCCTGGTCTCTGTTCTAACTCCTGGTCTCTGCTCTAACCCCTCCTCTCTTCTCTGGTCCTCAGGTCTGCACCATGTGGGACCCTCGCTCCTGGGCAGAGTACCTGGTGGAGTGGGCAGCCAAAGACCCATATGGTTTCCTGACCACCGTGATCCTGGCCCTCACGCCGCTCTTCATCGCAAGCGCTCTGTTGTCGTGGAAACTCGCCAAGATGATCGAGGCGCGAGACCGAGAGCAGAAGAAGAAGCAGAAGAGACAGGAGAACATCGCCAAAGCCAAGAGGACCAAGAAGGACTGAGGACCAGCAAGGACTGAAATGGACCAATCAGGATGGAGAAGGACCAACCAGGGCAGAAGAGGACCAATCCAGGACTGCCTCTGGTCAAGCATGCCAAGAAGGACTGGGTCTCCATCTCGCTCTCTCTGGTATTTCTATCTAGTCTCTTTCTAGTCTCTCTGCTCTCGCTCTCTGGTCTCTTTCTGGTTTCCCTCTCTCTGGTCTCCCTCTCTAGTCTCTCTCTTTCTAGTCTCCCTCTCTCCTCTCTTTCTAGTCTCTCCTCACTAGTCTCTCTCTTTCTAGTCTCCCTCTCTCCTCTCTTTCTAGTCTCCCACTCTGGTCTCCCTCTCTCTGGTCTCTCCCTCTCTCTGGTCTCCCTCTCTCCTCTCTTTCTAGTCTCTCTCTCTGGTCTAACACCAATCAAAGAGAACTGATCACAAACAGGAGACAGAGACCATCACTGAGTCCAACAAGGAAGACTTTAATGATGGACTCGGCCTGGTCCTCCTCCTCCCAGCTCCTCGCGGTGGACCTCCAGCGACAGTCCAGGAGGAGGAGGTGACTGTGACCTCCTCCTCCTCCTCCTCTAGGTTCTTGTTTGAGTGTAACATGTTTTTAAATGTTTTTATGTGACTTTGGCCTCGGTCCAGGTCAGGGTCCAAGATTTCTACAGACTTTAATAAATAACAAACAAAAGCAGAGACTTCTGTCAGAGGTGTCTACACTTTCACACCAGCTCTGTCTGTGGTGTCACATGTCACAGCTGAAGTTGGCTGGATGACACTGAGACATTATGATCTCAGACTGTGCCAACATGTCGTTCACATCAGTGGGTTTCTCAAAGGCACAAATATGTCCAAGACCAGAGAGAGCGAGACCAGAAAGAGCGACCAGAGAGCGACCAGAGAGCGACCAGAGAGCGACCAGAGAGCGACCAGAGAGCGACCAGAGTAGGGATGTAAAAAACTATGCATTTTCATGACCGACCACCGAGCCTCATTAACCGGTTGAAACCGGTTAACCGCGTAGTTTAAAATATTCCACGTTCTTTGAAATAGCAGCCATTTGGAGCCGCGTACTTTTCATAAGTTTATCTATGCGTTCTACTAGATCAGAGCTGAGACAGCGGCGCCAAAACCCGCAACAGCTTCGGCACCTTTGTGCACAGAGAACTTCTTTTTTAATCTTCCCATACTTTGCTGCGGGTTAAAGCATTTTTAAGCAAAAGACGGCTTGTTCACATGGTCAGAGCAGCGAGTTACACGCCGCGTCTCGCAGGTCTCCGCTAAAGTTTAAAAGTGATCAGTGTGGATCTGATCTAATGACAAGGACCAGCAGCACAAACATGTTTCATGTGTTTGACTGGGGCCGCGTATTTGCGAGGATCCTTTGGGCTGCGAGACACAGAGGTGCGCGACAGACCGGTATGTGTGTGTGTACAATACATGTATGTGTGTGCGTGTAAATATAAGCTCCAATGTAGTTCTGACCCGCACTAGTGTGGAACTTTGGCAGTAACAGAGGGGAGAGATGATGCGTGTGGATGTTACGTATGGAGGGGGGAAAGTGTTTGTGTGTGCGTGGCTGCGTGCATATGTGGAGCGTGCGCCATGAAAGTCACCCGTAGTCTACTAATGCATTGGCGCACACAGCTAGATACGGACCCGCTCGTCACATCGTACAAATAGGGCTTATTAATAGCCTTATTAAGAGACCTCCCCTCTCCGCTTTTTCTTATTTTTAACCGACAGCTTTGACCGGTTAACGCTGTGACGGTCAACCACCGGTTAAACGGTCACCGATTTACATCCCTAGACCAGAGAGAGACCAAGGAGAGACCAGAGAAAGACCAAGGAGAGACCAGAGAGAGACCAAGGAGAGACCAGAGAGAGACCAAGGAGAGACCAAGGAGAGACCAGAGAGACAAAAGAGAGACCAGAGAGAGACCAAGGAGAGACCAGATAAAGACCAAGGAGAGACCAGAGAGAGACCAAGGAGAGACCAGAGAGAGACCAGAGAGAGACCAAGGAGAGACCAGAGAGAGACCAAGGAGAGCCCAGAGAGAGACCAGAGAGAGACCAAGGAGAGACCAGAGAGAGACAAAAGAGAGACCGGAGAGAGACAGGAGAGAGACCAGAGAGAGAACCCAAAGAGAGACCAGAGAGAGACAAAAGAGACAAAAGAGACCGGAGAGAGACAAAAGAGACCGGAGAGCGAGAACACCGAGAGAAAAGATCCAACAGGAAAAAATCTGTCACATTTTAATATAAATGTTACTTTACTCTTTAGAACTACACGCGTTGTTTACAACCAGCAAAGTTAGGTCCCTCAGCTTTAAACCTATAGAGGAGAGACCAGAGATAGAGAGACAAGAGAAAGACAAGTGAGAGACCAAAAAGGGATAGCAGAGAGACTAGAGAGAGAGACCAGAGTGAGACCAATGCTCTCCACAGTCCTCCTCTTGGTGCTGAGGTCTCCTGGTCACGTCTTGCTGGTAGGAGTCCAGGATCCGGGCTTGAAGCTGTTGCTGGTGCTGGTGGGCTCCTCGCTCTGGGTCTCGGGGCCGAAGTGTGAAGCAGAGCCGTGTCCCAGGGCCACAGTCCGAGAACCCAGACCCTCCTGCTCCTCCTGGTCCTTCTGCTCCTTCTGGTCCACCTCCAGGGCCTTCAGCTTTATCTGCTGCTGGTACAACAGGTTGTGCAGGACCTCCTGAAGAACACACCAGACACAACATATCTTTGTTAAAGACCAGAGAGAGAGAGACCAGAAAGAGAGACCAGAGAGAATGACCAGGGAGAGACCAGAGAGGGACCAGAGAGAGACCAGAGAGGGACCAGAGAGAGACCAGAGAGAGACCAGAGAGGGACCAGAGAGGGACCAGAGAGGGACCAGAGAGGGACCAGAGAGAGACCAGAGAGGGACCAGAGAGGGACCAGAGAGAGACCAGAGAGGGACCAGAGAGAGACCAGAGAGAGACCAGAGAGGGACCAGAGAGAGACCAGAGAGGGACCAGGGAGGGACCAGAGAGGGACCAGAGAGGGACCAGAGAGGGACCAGAGAGAGACCAGAGAGGGACCAGAGAGGGACCAGAGAGGGACCAGAGAGGGACCAGAGAGGGACCAGAGAGGGACCAGAGAGAGACCAGAGAGAGACCAGAGAGGGACCAGAGAGGGACCAGAGAGGGACCAGAGAGGGACCAGAGAGAGACCAGAGAGAGACCAGAGAGAGACCAGAGAGAGACCAGAGAGAGACCAGAGAGGGACCAGAGAGGGACCAGAGAGAGACCAGAGAGATTAGAAAGAGACCAGAGAGAGAGATACCAGAGGGAGAGGGACCAGAGAGAGATCAGAGAAAGACCAGGCTTCAGGAAGTGTGGGGACTTCATTTCAGGATAAATATTTACAGCAGTTATACATCAAAACGTCAGAGAAGGTTTAAAAATACACCGAGGTATTGTCTGTGAGAGTCTCCCTCTGTCGGAGAGACCAGAGGAGGAGGTACCAGAGGAGGAGGGACCAGAGGAGGAGGGACCAGAGGAGGAGGGACCAGAGGAGGAGGGACCAGAGGAGGAGGAGGGACCAGAGGAGGAGGGACCAGGAAAACCATATGTCACAACAAGATACAGCTGGACTTTAATCTTGTTTCCACCACTGGCCTGGCGTGGCCCTACTCTACTCTTCAGAGAGAGGCTAGAGAGAGAGAGAGACCAGACAGAGACCAGAGAGAGAGACCAGACAGAGACCAGAGAGAGAGACCAGACAGAGACCAGACAGAGACCAGAGAGAGAGACCAGAGAGAGACCAGACAGAGACCAGACAGAGACCAGAGAGAGAGACCAGACAGAGACCAGAGAGAGACCAGAGAGAGAGACCAGAGAGAGACCAGACAGAGACCAGAGAGAGAGACCAGACAGAGAGACCAGACAGAGACCAGAGAGAGAAACCAGACAGAGACCAGAGAGAGACCAGACAGAGACCAGAGAGAGAGACCAGAGAGAGACCAGACAGAGACCAGGATAATCATGTCCCAGTTCTAGTCCTGCCTCAGTCTGGCCTCAGCTCTGAGTCCTGTGTTCTGAGGCCCAGACCCAAAGCTGCTGCTGGCGTCTCTGCAGAGCGAGGAGCCAACGCTGCGGCCTGGAGAGGCGCATTGGGGACCGCCACAAACAGAATCAACTGCTTCTCCAGCCGTTAATGACACAGTTTAATCCAATCCATTTATGTGGGTTTGGAGCGGCACGAGACGAGAGCCTGAGCAGGGACTAACGCGGCAGGAGAGGAGACATCAACACTGTCCAGCTGTCAGAGAGGAGAGGAGGGGGGAGGGAGAGGAGAGAGGAGGAGGGAGGAGAGAGAGGAGAGAGGAGAGGAGACATCAACACTGTCCAGCTGTCAGAGAGGAGAGGAGGGAAGGAGGGAGAGGAGAGAGGAGGAGGGAGGAGAGAGAGGAGAGAGGAGAGGAGACATCAACACTGTCCAGCTGTCAGAGAGGAGAGGAGGGAAGGAGGGAGAGGAGAGAGAGGAGGGAGGAGAGAGAGGAGAGAGGAGAGGAGACATCAACACTGTCCAGCTGTCAGAGAGGAGAGGAGAAAGAAAATGGGAATAGAATGTTCTGGCAGCAGAGAGATGGCACAGACACAGACTTCCTAAAGCCGTGCCCAAATCATTTCCAGCGTTTTCACATCAATAAGAGAGAGAGAGAGAGAGAGAGAGAGAGAGAGAGAGAGGGAGAGAGAGAGAGGACAGAGAGAGAGGAGAGAGAGGAGAGAGAGAGAGAGAGAGACAGAGAGAGACAGAGAGAGAGAGACAGAGACAGAGACAGAGAGAGAGAGAGAGAGAGAGAGAGAGAGAGAGAGAGAGAGAGAGAGAGAGAGCGTAGCAAAGAGCAGCTGCTGAAGTCATGGCTACTATACAGACACAAATATAAATTCCTGGGCTGGCTTGCATGAACTGTATGACAGACCAAATAGTCTCCCACCTCTCCTCCCCTCTCCTCTCTCTCCTCCCCTCTCTCCTTCCCTCTCTCCTCCCCTCCCCCATCCTTGGGGGAGACGTACCTCGTTGGTGGGGGGCTCCTTCCGTCTCCCTCTGATCCAGGCTGCAGGACACAGACACATGTCAGCAGAGAAGCAGCTCTGAAGGAAAGACTCACTATTGGACTGTGGGCTGAGAGCTGATTGGCTATATTAGCATTGTCCATGTGTATACAGTCTGTGTTAGCATTAGCATCTGTATACAGTCTGTGTTAGCATTAGCATCTGTATACAGTCTGTGTTAGCATTAGCATCTGTATACAGTCTGTGTTAGCATTAGCATCTGTATACAGTCTGTGTTAGCATTAGCATCTGTATCCAGTCTGTGTTAGCATTAGCATCTGTATACAGTCTGTGTTAGCATTAGCATCTGTATACAGTCTGTGTTAGCATTAGCATCTGTATACAGTCTGTGTTAGCATTAGCATCTGTATACAGTCTGTGTTAGCATTAGCATCTGTATACAGTCTGTGTTAGCATTAGCATCTGTATACAGTCTGTGTTAGCATTAGCATCTGTATACAGTCTGTGTTAGCATTATCCATCTGTATCCAGTCTGTGTTAGCATTAGCATCTGTGTGTGTTAGCATTACCGTCCCACTCCACAGGAACACTTCCCTCCAGATACTCAAACTCAGACGGATTCACTGCCTCCACCAGTCTGCGGGAGCGGACCACACGACCTGAGACCAGACACACCAGGAACCATGAGACCAGGGAGAGGGACCAGGAGAGGAGTCAGGAGAGAGGAGCCAGGAGAGAGGAGCCAGGAGAGAGGAGCCAGGAGAGAGGAGACAGGAGAGAGGAGACAGGAGAGAGGAGACAGGATAGAGGAGACAGGAGAGAGGAGACAGGAGAGAGGAGACAGGAGAGAGGAGCCAGGAGAGAGGAGACAGGAGAGAGGAGACAGGAGAGAGGAG